AGAATCTAGAAAGAAGAGTAAGTAAGTATTTTATTATTTGATTTATTAGTTTGAAATGATTTAATTTTGGGTTTTATTTAAATTTCTATACAAGTATATTTTTGAACAATATATTTATTCCATCGACTTTGATTTTTTTTGAGAAAAAGTATTAAACATACATGTTAGTATAAAACACACTCTTTCCATTTTATTATAAACGTCATTTAGACAATTTTACGTATATTAAGTAAATAAAAAATATATTAGTATATTTTCATCTATAAAAAATTGCATTAAAATGTAAAGTGGTATATTTTTTGAAACAAAAAATGGTATAGTGATATTATTTAGAAATAGAAGGAGTAATTAAGAACTACAATGTAAGTGATGTTTTATACTTTCAGCACAATCAAACTTTTATTTTGAACTTTACACAATCAATTTTGTTTCATACGTACAAGTCATTGATACTATTTAAATCTATAAATTATCGACTATATATGTCAAAGTAAATTTCATTTTTAGTAATAAATAGACATACATTAAACCAACTTAAGCATATGAAACATATGAAGTATTTTCGGAGTAAATTATGAATACGACAAATAAAAGAGATGTCGAGTTCAAATTATTTTTCTATCTCATGAAAAAGGTAGAGTTGAACTCATTACCTCTATAACATAATTAAGTTTGGTATGTTGACAAAAAAAAAGAAAAGGTTTGGCATAGTGTTGATTCAATCGAGAGATCGGCTCCATATTAGATGCTCACTTCTAGAGACATGAATCCCCTATATATTAATTGAGAAACATTTGAAAAGATGTAACCTCAAGTTTTTATTAATTAAAAAGTAACCTTGCTTAGTTGTCAATCAATTAGCATCTACTATATTAAAACAGAGTTATTATTTTTATCTACTGATATAAGTTGTCATTTAAATTTGGACCCTTTCTAGAATGTTACAAATAATATAAGTCATATAATTGATTGAACCGTATTACTTAAATTAAACCAACACAATTAATGTAAAGAGATGACATTAATGTAAACTACCTTCAAAATATGGTAGGTATCTATTTGTATATCGAACACATATTTTCTCCTACAAATATGGAATGTTCTAAAAGAATATATCATCAAAATATGGAATATGAAAATCTAATAATTATACTTAAATTAAATCAGTGGTTATTTATGAAATATAGTCTTCGGCTTATACTTTTATTTATGAACAAATTATATAGTTTGGTTTTTGAGCTTAGTATTAAGAAAAAAACTCCAAAAAATTGAATAAACTTTTCACCTTAAAAGATCAAAAAATCAATTATTATTTTCAGACCCAAAAGCTATTTAATATTTTTCACAAAACAAAATTATCTATTATTAATCATTTATATAAATCATGTACTTTAAAAAATGTTAATATATTTTTTTATTCTAAATAACAATCACTTTGTTTTGATAAATTTCAATGGTAACTTTTAAATAATTTATTGTTTTATTTTTCTTAAATAATTTAGTGGTTAAAAAAATGTAAAGCAAAACAAAAAACCAAATTTAAAAACTAAAATCCAAAATCAAAAGCTGAAAACACATGTTATATTTTTTTGCTTTGTTTATTTACAAAATAAACTATTTCAAATTTTTTTTTATTAAATTTGTTGTCATCTTTTCAGTTTTGAATTAGATGTTCGATTATTTGAGATTTGTTTGTTGATAATATTAGTTCAAACTAACTCAGCGAGTTTAAAAATTAAAAACCCAAACCAAAAATTGAAAATGAAAAGTAGAAACTTAAAAACTAAAAACCAAAAACCAAAATCTAAAAATAAAAACTAAAACTAAAAACTAATGAAAAATAATCATCACCACAAATTTTGGTGAACTGATTTTATATCAAAATATTCTTTAAACTAAGACAAAACTCAATTATATAAATTTTTAATCATAAAAAATTTCCGCGCTTTCAAGCGCGGGTCAAAATCTAGTACCAATTAAACTGACGTGACAGCTTTAGGTTCAATTGAAATTTGATAGGGAAAAATAATTAGAGACGCATATAACGCATGTAACATAGTTTATATATTTATATATATCGCACGCATGTAATGGAAGAAAAGGAAAATATACGATTTGATAACGATTTGCATATATTAACTATAATAACTTCATTCCTTTTAATTGATGGAAGTGTATATGTAAAATGGAAATTACTTTGTGACCAAGTACATACTTAATGGTAAAGGCAAGTGTATATGTAAAATGTAAAAGTTAATATATTAACTTGGGAATTTATGTTAAAATTGATATATGCAAATCGTAAATATTAATAGTAATTATGGAAGACCCCTTACCTATTAATATTATCACCTACTATTTCATTCGACGTAATAAGGCACGAGAAAAAAAATTCTTTAAAAAATGACGACCATCAGTTCTGTTCTCGACTTGAAACCTTTCAAAAAGAACTGGAAGATCAAGGTTAAAGTTATTCGATTGCGGAAACATAATGCAGGCGCTTGTGGTAAAACCATAGAGATGGTTCTATGCGATATTAAGGTAGTTTGTTCAGAAGTTAATATGTTTTATGTAATATTATATCAATTATTTTGTTCACTAATAGCTTTACCGTTTTTAATAATCAGGGTAATAAAATTCATGCCTCTGTCAAAAACGAATTGATAAACAAATTCAATCCTTTCTTGAAAGAAGGCTACTCGAACATCATCATCAATTTCTCTTTGTTAAATTCTGTTGGTTCGTATAGAACCACAAATCATCCATACCAGATAAGTTTCCTCAACACAACCCGTGTTCTACCCAGTGAGCAACTGCCTGCAGATCTTTGCGGATTCCAACCAGTCAAATACAACGAAATACTCGACGGAACTCTGAATCCCGATTATTTAGTTGGTTAGTATGTTTCATAATACTTCGTTGAATTGCAGCATCACATATATCCATATTAACAAACTCATTCCTACATGTGCAGATATTATCGGCCATATTGTTCAGGTTAGTAACATTCAACATGTCAATGTCAATGGTCTGGAGACTGAGAAAATCTCAATACAATTGCGAAATTCCAAGTACGTTATTTGATATTGTTTTGTTGATCCCTTTAATTATTTAAATGCAAAAAGCTTCCCTCTTAAATTTTTTGTTTAACATTTTCCATATGTAAGGGATAAAAGACTTCCATTGGTTCTGTGGGGAAAAGCTATTATTTTTATTACTTTTTATGGTTAAAATAAATTTTAATTTTAAAATATATTTTAATTAAACTATATACCATATAAGATTACATAAAAATTTTAATTTCAAAATTTTCAATAAATTCTCAAGAACATTTATAAATTATAAACTTATTAAAAATTTCACATTGAGAATTTTTGTTATCAATGATTTAAATATTTTAGTTCTTTTTTAATTTTATATTTTTAAAAGATATTAACAATCGATAATATGGTTATTTTTGGTATATACCATACAAACCGAGTGGATGTGATTTTATAAAAACCATAGGATTTGGATATGGTTTGATTTATAACCGATTAAACTGAAACATGTAAATATGTATATATTTATAACGACGCATGAATATCTATTTGTTACATGAGTTGAACTATAATTATAATTTTTAAATAGCTAACAATTTATTACAACTGAGACTTCTTATTTTGATCTTTTCCTTTTTTTAACTGTAACTAAATTGAAGTAAAGATTATAAATTTGATGGACAACAATTAGTTGAAATTCTTTACAACTTTTTTTAATCTTTAAACAAACAGAGTTATGTTCAATCGAAGACATATTGGTTTGATGAACACTAAATATGGAAGAATATAAAAACTTTTCTTTCATACTTCTGTTTTGTTTTTTATTTTTATTTTCAAAATTTAGTGTTTTGATATTAATTATAGGTTTGATCATTTTATTAGATGATAGAAGTCTTTTGTTTTTTATTCTTTTATTTAAATATTTAATATTTTTTTAATAAATGACTCTATGACAATATGACTCTAAATATGATCATATTATATATTTGTATAATATATAATATGATCTCAAACTAAATAATTATGTTTTTTGGTATAAAATTGAATAAACTGAAAACTGATGGTATATAAACCAAATCAAACTGAAGTACATATAGATTTAGAATATTAGTTATATTTTAATGATTGAAATACCAAATATCTGGATTGAACACCTCTAATCCGAATGAAACCGAACTATTGTTTCATTTTTCAAAACATAATAAAATAACTTCATCCCGCGCAAGGCGCGGATCTTATCCTAGTTCAATAGTAAATGAAAATTTTGAATTCTATATGAACTAACATTTAATATGACCTAATATTCTGCTTTCTTTAGGAATCACAATTACTTTTTTATGCCACGTGCAACATATATTTGTAGTCCCCTAGTACGGAAATATTCAATTATCTTAAACTGCGATCATTGACACTTTACACTTAGCAAACTTTCAAAATAGTTTTAATAAAATAGCATTGCCATTCGTCTTTACATTCACCGATACTGTTAACACGGTAAACGATGTTTCTAATCAAACACACTGTTGGATTTAAACCCAATAATTTGTGATACACAGTTGAACATTACAGCATCGTTTCACAAAAGTTCAAAATGCTCCCAAGATTACAATTTAGAAGAAAGCTCTGAGAAAAGAAGAAGAAAGGAAGAGAGTAGAATCATTTATTATAATAAATACGAAAACAGCGTAACCAGGAAAAGGTACTGAATTATAGTATTGAATGAATCCCAACCAAACAACATTAAATTATCAAGCCATTAATTTAATACAACAACCCAAAAAGAAGAATTAAATGTAAATAAATAAATATATAGACGTTCTTTTTTTGTATAACACGATAAATATATAGACGTTAAACTAAGTAAAGAAATAGACCCCACCAAAGCCTCCTTGTTCTCGCCCTCTTCAAACCCTTAAAATCTTCCCTCCCTCACTCCATTAACTCTCTCAGTTTCCTTACTTTGAATCAAATCTCAATACCAAAAAAAAAAAAAAAAAATCTTGTCCTACTTTTCTTTTCTCAAAGCTAGCCAAGAAGAAAAAAAAAATGAAACTCCCATTTCTAAACAAGAACAACTCTTCATTTTCGTGTACTTCAGATTCAAATTCAGTTTCATCATCAACAAATACCACTTCATGGGCATGGCCTTCTTGTCATCAAAACCCTAAAACCACATCTTTTAGAGCCACCATCACTTTCACCAACCCAATCCACGAGCAAGACGATGATGAGCTCGACCCATCTGAGATTAAAGAGTCGATAGAGAGTGTGATAAAAGGGCTAAGATCTTCAGAGAGACTCATCTTCGAAAGCAAAGGAGAATCCAACTCTATACTCGAAGAAGCTACAACAAAGCAAGTACAAGAACAAGAAGAAGAAGCAGAGGAGGAAGAGGAAGAAGGCTTCATGCTCTTGTCCTTAGAATCAAACGACCCTTACTCTGATTTCAAGAGATCCATGGAGGAGATGGTTGACGCACACGCGCTTCACCACGACTGGAGAAGCCTCGAACTGCTTCTTGTCCAGTTCTTGAAAGTCAACGCCAAGACCAGCCATCGATACATCTTCGCCGCTTTTGTCGATCTACTCTTCAACTTAGCACCAAACACGAATGGACTCATCAGTAACAACATTGCCAAAGACGACGTGGTCGGCGTTTCTGCGTCACGCGCCGTCGCTGGAGAGGCAAGCACTTCTTATTGTACCAGTATAGGTCTAGGCGAATCTCCGTTGTCTCCTTTGTCGTTCTACACGTCGTGTTCTTCGTCTTCTTCCTCCGATGAGACTTCATCCACGTCCGTGCGATTCTTGCCGTTGTCTTCGTTGTTAGAGATGGATGAGAAAACTAAAGACATTTTGGTTTAAAATGTTTTTCTATTATTTCTTCTTAATTTGTATTTTTTAGTTTAATCAAAAGTTTGTGCAGATTCGTAACATTGGCTACCCTGAATATTTGCTATATTCGTATTTATTGTGTTTATTTTTAAATAATTCAATTATGCTGAATTTATATTTTCGTTATGTAGGATATTGGTTGATGATAGTTCGATCGAACAATCTTATTTGATGAAAACAACCGGTTAGGTGACATAAGTTTTTGACACAACGTCCATAACAAGCATTTTTTTTTTACTGATAATATTTTTTTTTTTGTAACTTGTATATTACATTTACTCCTTTTACCTTTCTATTTTTTTGCAAATAACAAAAATAATCACGTTCATAACTATAGGGATTAACTAGTAGTTTTTTGTTCATTACTAGGTGCATATAAAATAATGTTTTCAGTGAGAACGTAAATATATGAAATAAGAGATTTTAATTAGTGACCATTGTGTTTAGTTCTGGATACTATGGTGAACATACAATACAACGAATTTCTTAAGACAATATTTTCTCCTGTAAAGTTTTGGCATTTTTTGAACGGGATCGGACAAAAGTTTAGTATAATATAAAATTAAACAAAAAAAAAATATTAGAAATTTGTTTGAACGTTGGATAAGCGAGAACGGAAAAACAGCGATCGCTTGAACGGCAGGTTGGGATTTAAGACGAGACATGTGGGACTGTGAGTCGTTGGTACAATCCTACGAGATTGTCAACGTAATCTAATTTTACACACACACTATAATAATATGTAGTTCACTAATAATAATATGATCATAGCTCATTAACATGGGACGGGATGAATTTATGTATTTATCTAATCTAAGGCATCGTTTTCGATAGATCATATCAAAGGCCTTGGATTTGAATTCTACTGTCGTTTATTTATGTGGCAGAGCAGTTTTTTGTTTTGTAAGAAACTTGGTTCATAGTAAATCCAAAAATAATTGTGACTGCAAAAAACACCCAGAAATGTAGTATAATACAAAATATTAGATGCTCTAAGATATACCTTGCATACATCATCTCAGTTCCTTTATAATTTAAAATCGTCCGCACATGTAAAACTGTGTAAAACCCCATCTAGTACATTAATTTGACTCTGATCCAGATTAACTTCTATAAACTAACAAAAAAACTAATCAGAAACCTAAACAAAATATACCGGTCAAAAGGTGATAAATTAGAAGTAACCACACTAGTTTTGAGTCAAACATAATGAAACATTTGTCTAAGATTTCCAATTTTTTTTTTAAAAAAACATTACATAGTCAAATATTTTTTTTAGACTTCTAATTTTTTTTTTCAAAATATTTAGTTAAATTTCTTATAAATCGTCTAAAATTTCCTAAATTTGAGGATCGGTCCTGGAGGTAACTTAACATCTTTTCAGCCTTTTTTCGTTTTAAAGCCTTTTGATCCCATCTAATAACAAAATTACATACTTTAAGTGTGCAACATATCCACAATAGCACATGGATTACCAAAACTTTTAATTGCATAAATCACTTTTTAGAACACTGAAACACGGTGAGATACGTGTAGGGGGTTAAGATATTTCGTTTAAAATATTTTTTAATAGTTAGTTTTATGTACATAGTTTAATCACGTGACAAACACGTAAGTATGTTTTTTTTTGTCAACACGCAAGTATGCTAATTAGTTGCATAACGGTTGCCAACTAAAATAATTGATGTAAAAAATTAGTGTTCACCAAAAATATAATAATCAATAATTACTTGCATAACTGTTGACTCAGAGTAATCAGTAAACAGTGGCATTCTACAATGCGAACTGCTAAAAGAGGAAGAAAGCATTTCCTCACCCTCATGACCAAGTGGAAGCACTGATCTTGTATTGGTTCATCTTCTCCTCTAGTTACTACCTTGTTTTTATTCTTTTTCTTTTTGCCAAGCTGTAACATGCTTTAGATTTTCGTTTAGTTTTTATATCTAACATTTCCTTTTTATGATCTCTACTTTTTAGCAAAAAGAAAAAAAAACTATTGATCACTTCCATATGAATATTACGCTGAGTCATTTCATATAATCCGAAATACTTCTAGATTAATAAAAAAAATAGTATACAAAAAAACAATTAAAAAGGAATAATGGCTGTAGTAAAATATGAGCACACGACAGTAAATGGTTGGGGTCCAGAATTTCAGGCCGTGTTTTGCTCTATCGAAAGCCAAAGTTGGCATTAACTAGAAAGACCAAATCTCAAGTGAAAATTATATACTACTCCCTAAAAATAAGATTTTTTAAGTCCACAAAAAAATTTTTGTATAGTAACATTTTTTTATAAAACATAATTAATTAATTTATAATTACTTTTACAATGATTTATTTAAATGCAAATTTTTGGGTAAAGACAATTTTTATTTTCTACAAATGTGAAAAATTAAGAAAGAGGTTTGAATATTGATAAGTGAGAATTAGTCTAGTTGCAACTAGACTATGTGAAACATCTAAAAAAAATAAAAATTGTTGAATTTTGTTTGGTTATAAACTACGGATAATCAATATGTATATAATTTTTGTTTGGTTCTGGACTACGGATAAAGAGCAGAACCATTATGTTAAACTATGAAAAATCTTCTTACATGCTAATTTTTCATAATTTTATATATGGTTTTTCTCTTTGGCATTAGATGGATTTTTCAGAATATATATATATATATATATATGCGCAGACAACTCTATTGCCAAATATATTTGTCTATGTGCGATGTGGAGTTTTTCTGAAGCCCATGTCCAACTCTGTCCATAATATGATATTGTCCGCTTTGGGTCTAAGAGGCAAAGCCTGTATGGATTTGTTTTTGGGTTCCTTTCCTAAAGGCCTTATACTAATCAGAATTGGACATTACTTATATATTAGACACTTTCTGTCTAAACTTCCGATGTGGGACTTGGATTGTATCCCAACAATCTCCCCCTCAAACCAAGAACCACATAACTCTCCGTGGACTTCAACCTCCTTGCGAAACCTGGTACCATCTTGTACCGCTGTACTCACCAACAGAACTCTTCACTTAACCCTTAAGAAGATTTCGACACAAGCCTCCACCACCCCTTAATCGCAAAGTCACTTTGAGGAACTTCCTCCCACAACGAACATGCAGGTCCAACCCACTTTTCTAGGTCCACTTTTTCCAACCTAGGCTCTGATACCACTGTGGAGCTTTTCAGAAGCCCATGTCCAACTCTGTCCATAGTATGATATTGTCCGCTTTGGGCTCAAGAGGCAAAGTCCGTACGGATTTGTTTTTGAGTTCCTTCCCAAAAAGCCTCATACTAATCAGAGTTGAACACTACTTGATGTAAAAAAATAATTTTATATGTTATTGTATTTTGTTATTGGTGAAAATGTGGTAAGAGTAACATTATTGAGGTTTTACACTTGAGATTCTAAAGATATATATGTGTATGTATATATTATATATGTGTATGTAATTATGGTTTCTAATTTTACGGGGACCCACAATTAGAAACTTTTGGTTAAATTTCTTGTAAAGTGAAATACCCACAATTACATACATATATATAATATATACATACACACATATATATCTTTAGATTCTCAAGTGTAAAACCCCCAATAATATTACTCTAAAGTTTATAGATAATAATATTTTATTTTGAAAATATGTAAAATTAAAGATTTTTTAATTTATGTCTGGAAAGTTGAAATGACAACTAAAATAAAATGGAAGGAGTATAAGATAAGAAAATATCTTAAATAATTAAATACCTTCCTAAACTGTTAGGAACTGACCATTTTGTACCCGATTTATTGAACCAATAAAATTCAACATTATTAGAAAAATAAACGGGTTAATTAACATAAGTTAAATTTCTAGGAAAATGGAGATAAAATTAATGGGTTTGTAATCTCAAAATCAGTTGTTTTGTGAGAAAATATGTATTGAGTTTCTCTATAACTTTTGGACAAGTAAAAGCCTGCAGTGTGTCTGTTTTTTTGTCTGAGCTACCAATAATCAAATACAGCCCGACCCATGTTTCCAATTGCGGACTCATCCAGGTTAACTTACGCATCGCCGTCCAGTCCGTTGACTTCTTATAATGCCGTTAGTCACTACTCACAAAAAAATTGTTAAGCTCTTTTAATCTCATTACTGCAACAGAAATTTGAACTTGCCGAAATGATAAAAGAATGTAACGAGAACAAGAACAGTTTCTTGTCAGTGTGTTCCTTAGGCCGATGAGCTTAGGTAACAGCCCATATTGTTCAAACCCATAAAAATATGGGCCAATTCTAGTTTGCAGTTATAGAGTTACAAATTTAAAACATCTCGCCTGTTTTCATATTATATATTGTTGATAAATATTACTCCCTCCGTATCAAAATATATGTCATTCTAGGCTTATTTTTTTGTCACAAATTAAGTGTCGTTTTAGAGTTTCGAGGCAAAATTTATTAGTTTTATATAATATTTTATTTTTCTATTGGTTGAAAAGTGGTTAGGTGTATAGGTAATTGTATTTTTATCTTGGAAATATGTAAAACTAAATATTTCAATAATCTATGTGCAAGACCTTAGAATGACAACTAAATTGAAACGGAGGAAATATATCTAATGCACTTTAATAAATAGTTTCATGCATTTCAGAATACATAAAATGTCTTAATTAAAAGCACGAAAATTATGTTAAATATCAAAAACATTTAAAAGTGTCACGTGATAGATAATTAAATTAATTAACACACATTCTCAATACTTTTTATATGAAATGTAAATAGAGTATATTTTAAACATATTTGTAAACAACTTTTTTGTTCAGACTTTCCATCAGTATTAGTAACACAATAATCTCAAAACACCTAAACCCCAAAGTGCTATAGTATCTAGATTATGAGAATAGTATCCTTCAAGTCCTTACGGGCCTTATCTATATTATTAATTCACCAGTAAGAAATAAACCTTTTAACTTAACATACATTAAAGATTTCTAGGTTAAGCTTTCAGAAGTTTTGAGAAAATTGGCATCCGAGGCCATTAATGGATGAGCACGAGAATCTCATAGCGTTATTGCTCTTTTATTGTTTTCGTGTTTCTTTTCACAGACTTCTGAGGCCATCATTATTACTCGTTGCTTGTTAGTCTAATCTGAAATTTGCTTCAATATTGATTACTGTATTTACTTTTGGTAGTTGGGTCATATATTTATAGCACCCGTTGATTATTTTCTTCAGCATTAATATGAATGTGTGTATTAATATTCATAGTATATTTATTATATGACTTACAAGTTACAACTTACAACGTACAAGCCTAGTTGGATCAAGTGCAGTGTGCAGACGGAATTATATATTTGTGTGTATTAATATTCATAGTATATTTATTATGAATGTTATAGTAAGAAAGGAATTTTGTTACAAAATAAATATCTTTCTTTTCTCAATGGAAAATTTATTAATTTTACTATACAATTTATTTTTTATATATGATTAGATGTATAGATAATTATATTTTATATAGAAAATATATATACTTAATTATTTTTTAATCTATGTGTATAAATCAAAAATGAGATTTGTAATGAAATAGATAAAATATTAAATTTTTGGTTTCAGACTTTTCTGGATGAACCTGTGTTTTTAAATTGAATCGAACAACCAGCCAAATCGGTCAAAATGTTATTTTTAAGAATATGTACACGATGCAAATAAATTCATAAGCAGTGTGCAATCGGTTTGAAGTCAACGTAGTTTAACCAAATTGCCTACGAATATAAGATAGTTAAGAACTACGAATTGCCTAAACAAACACACATACAAATATATAACATCAATATACTCAGATATGCATGTATATGGCCTAAAAGGAGTTGATACTTGATAACAAATTACCCAAAAATAAATTTTCTTATCTGAGTAATTATCAGAACGTTGGATTTTGTAGTGGTACCACTCCAGGTGTCTCAAACGAACAAAGTGGCCTTTGATAGAAAAAAAACAGGTGATATATTTGGTTACAAATTACTTGTTTGAAATTTCGAATGATGAATATAAAACACTAATATAAAAAAGTTCATAAAAATTCAGAATATTTGATTGAAAAATACTTATTCTGATCCACAGAGTTTACTCTTTCTTGTTTTTTGGGTTTTATAAAAATTGTTTTCGGTATTAAAGTTCTCAACGTTGTTTAGTTGAAGCTGATGCTGAACTAGAAATTAGTGGGTCAGTGAAGAATTAAATTACTCGGGGACCAATGTTAAAATCTCAAGAAAGAAATCTTGAAATCTATAGATGAGTGGGTCACTAGACAGAACTAATAATTACAAATATTTAAAAAGATGGATCCTATCGAAAGGTGTAAGAAGCGTTCGTCCAAAGCATTCTATCATCATCAATAAGATAAAACAAAGTCATCATGAATAGAAATACACAGAGGAAGAAGAAAAAACAAAGTCATTATGAATAGAAATATAGAGGAATGCCCTTAGTCAAAAAAGAAATATAGAGGAAGAAGTAATATTCTGCAGTAAAATGGTACATTAAAGTTTCTGCTACCCTCTCTTTCTAATTATTACGAATACAAATCCCAACGCTCTCGCATTTCTTTTACCGTCGAAGGCCAACATGTTCTCTCATTTTCTGTGAACAGTATTCATTATAGAAATAAATGGAAGTAGGCAGTAAAACCATTATGATATAGAAGTATTTAGTAATATACTACTACTAGTAATGTATTTTCCTTTTTAACTAATAATACACTATAACCTAAAAATAAAAAGTTAGTTTTAGTTTTATGCTGAAACAAATAAGTGTATACATCTACTCCCTCCCTTTCAACATGTTCCATGTTTTAGAAAATATCTTAAATGTTAATTATAAATATATTATTTTGCGATTAACTATTTCCATAAATTTAGAGAATTTATACTCTCTACACACAACTAATACCCTATTTACACTCTCTAGCCTATTTCCATAGTTTTTGCTCTTCCCATCATCAATATTTCTTTCCAAACTTAAAATATTCAACACCTTTTAATATTTTGAACAAATTGGCTCTAAATTTTAATCAATAAAAATTTAATAAATATAATTGTTTTCTTGAAATTTACACTTTACTATTGTTACTTAATAAAAAATACATTAAAATGTAAAAGATGTATCTTTTAGAAACAAAGAATTTTTCTTGACTATAGATCTTTTTGCTAGTAATAGCTACTATTTGATGTTGCATACTAGTAAAATATTACACCCCCCCCCCCTCAATTGCTATTTCGTATTGAAGCCACAATCTAGAATATCAGTTTCGGTAATTCAAACACGTATAATGGGTAAATGAGTCTTCTCATAATAAATTATGGAAAACAAATACATTAATTTAATAATATATGGTATGCTTCTTCATCAGTATTAGCAATATTTAGAAGTTTATTATCATACAGCCTGAATCTGGCAACACAAGTATATATATAAAGACTGAGAGCGGTATTCAAGATACATACACAGCCAAACTCTTGGAGTGCGGTTAGTTACGATATTGATGCCGAATGCTTTTCATTATTTCATTAGATTCAGAATCGATCCTATGGCAAGCTGAAAAATAGACTATAGGTCTCTAATTTTTTTTGAACAAAATTATGTGTTTAGATTCCAAATAAAATTAAGTTTATGATATCGTTAAAAGAATATCTTATACTCTTTAATTCTCAGGGTCAAGTTAAATTAGGCCTCAACATGTTAATACATCTTAAACTAGCACATGATGTTAGACAAAATATGTCGTTACTAGTTTTAAGTTATATTTATTTAACATGTTGGATTATAGTCCTTAATGATAGTAGCTGGTCCCCCCCTCTCCCCCACCCCATAAACTACCATACCAGAGCTTTCGCTCCTTACCAAAGCCAAATTTGTTTTTTTGTCACTCCAACAAATGCATAGTACCAAAAAAACCACACTGCTCTATATTTTTCTCAAAATTACTTTTATGTATGTATAGCATACATCAATGAAATCCATCTCTATTTTAAAAGGAAATTTAAAATTGACTGGAAATGCTCTAGTAGCCTATTTGTAAAAAAAAACGAAGTAATGCTTTAATTAGATAGATATTCTCCAAGACATGTGTGGTTTATATCTACAAAAATAAGAAAAATGAAATGTTTTCCGCTATAAAAGCCTTTTTACGTACGGGTTTCAAATTATTATCCAGAAATCTACGTACATTCATCATTCTTTGACAGTGTCTTACCTTACGTGATAGTATGACTTTTTTTTTAATAATTATTACTACAATCTTAAGCTTCCGCACATCCGTACTTTAAGGATAAATAAACAAAAAGAGTTCACGTGGACTTGTTTTCGGAAGGTTCATGTCGTCATCGTAATGAGAGTCACGAGTGCACAACATCTTTGAAATATCTGTAATTATTCGATTTTGGCCGATTACAACTACAAAAATCAACATATAAGCATGTTGTGATATTATATCTATGAATATTCCATCGTTAACAATTGTATATCGTCTGTAGCCAGATTTTTGTTTCCTGTAGTTTCATAAGATATTTCTAAACTGTTTTAATTTGTATATTTGATATATAGTTTTTATCGAAGTTCATACAAGTCCTGAAACATATTGCCTATAATATATAATATAATAAATGCAATTAGTTTTGCGTGTATGTGTAAAAGACTAAAAGTTATAAACTCTAGTCAAGACAGTTATCTTCGACGTTTACATTTTACTTGTTAGTTAGCATAAGAAATAATATATAATGCTATATACTATATATATACAAGTTGCATCCAAGTTTCATAATATAATCACATACTAACCGTCTTAACACAACTTTTGTTTGTTGGTAAAAATGTTAAATGTCTAAATGCAACTTTCTTTGTATGCAAGTATTGTAAGATACATATTTTAGTATTTACCCCCAAAAAGATGAAACTGTATGTGATGTCAAGGCTATGGTATTTTTGTAAACATTTAAACAAAAAGAATTTCAGATATGTCTAAACAATAACCGACGAATTTTAAACTTCTAGTTTATATAACGAAAGGTCATTTTACATAACATCCTACCATTGTTGTCGTTACACTTCAAAGACAAACAAGAAAATCCCAAAGCTTAAGATAAGAAGTTAAAAAAAGCACAAACCCAATAATGTATTGACACATCGGTAGTAGTTGTAATGGATAGTCAACGTGTCAATACATTATTGGTAACGTGGCATAATACTTAGTTAAAACTTAAAAAGAGTTACGTCCCCTAAACAAAAGGAGTTAACATTACATCGATCACTGGTAATGGTGATTATGGTAATCACGTGAGGCCCGTGACGGTCCATGATGACGGATGAGCGGCGACTCTTGGACGCTACCACGGCGTTTGACGGCTGCGGAGAACACTCCTTCCCATATCTCTGAGAAAGCGCGGATGATGATGCTGTGGTGGTAAGGCTCGTTGAGCGAGAGGAAACAGTTGAGAAGCTCTCTCAGATCATCTTTGGAGTAAATCTCGTTCTCAAGAATCATCTGAAGCATAGACTGGCGGAAATCGAGGTAAGGGTCGTCAGAATCTTTCTCGACGGCTACGGCGGCGGAGGGTGTGGCGGAGGAGGAGGAAGAGGTGTTGTCGGAGAACCAGTGATTGGTGGAGGGAATGGCTGAGGAGGAAGAGACGGTGGTGGTTGTGGAGGAGTGGCCGTAAGTAGAGGAGTAGAGGCGGGGCTTTTTGGAGGAACGGTTGAAAAGAGAAGACAAGGTTGGGAACTTACAGTTACTACAACCTATGTCTACGACAGATACTGCCTTAAGGACCATTTTCTTCTTCTTGCTTTTCACCGCCATTGTTGTCTCTTTTGTGACTCTGTCTCTCTCTCTCTCTGACTGTAAAGAGAAAAATAGATTTGAGTGAGAGTGTCTGCTTGGGATTGGTATTAAAGGACGCATGTGGGGACTGTGATGGTTTTAATGAGAAGTAAACTCTAAGCAGCTAGCATTAATATTTAATATGGTGTTTTAAAGACAATTTTGAGATTTTCTTTTTGAAAGTTATTTTAAACATAAGTATAGGTCTATAAATGCATGACAGCATGAGCATTAATTTGACGTTTACTTACTCTACTGATTTTATTAAAAGAAGATTAGATTTATGGAGTTATTTAACTTTACTAAACTGTTTTCTCATGTCAAGTCAAATCTGTAATTGATTATGGGTGGCCAACATATACGTCACACATAGTAGATAAATCTGATTTTCTCTATAAAGTAGAAGAATAGTATATGGTTCCAAAAGTGAAGTATTTTCATAAAAAAATACTGAATGAACTAATTAATTATTTAAAATGTTATTGGTTATGATTTTAAACTCATTTTTTCCCAAACTTCAAAGGTCTAAAAAAAAAAAATTTAGTACAGTACAAGTACGAAGATCAATTTTTTGTATGAATACATATCAACTTGTTTCTCAATTTGGATGAAAAAATCAATACAACGTGGAAGGCCAGGGGAGTGAATGAGATTTATTATTCAGTAGTCCTAGCCGTAAAACTGTCAAATCAATAACATTGATATTTAGACGACGTGAAAACAGTCAAATCATTAACATGGTTCCCAAAAATTACTTGATTTATAGTTCTCGTTTTCTTGAGCTCGTTACAATTCCGATTTAGAAATAGGCGAAAAAAGAAGAAAAGAAAAAAATAAACAGGATCAAAAAGACCAAAGATATGTTCAACAATATTAGGTTCACTTCGCATTGCCTATAAACGAAGTAAGTACACTAGTGTTTCTTGTCAATCTCCGAACCTCGAACCCTCTGGAGTATGGACTTTCCGAAAATATCGAGTTTAAATGGGTTTGTATTGGGCCTTATGAGCTTGATAAATCGCCTCTAGATTAATCCAGTTAATTTGTTAACCTGATGGGCCTGATCCATTTATTTCCACTACCTCGTAAATTACGTGAATAACCTTTAAAACCAAAATTTGGAGGTAACGGTCAACCGATAAACCTGTTCCTCGTGCCCCCAATTATTCGAGTAGCGTATGTGGCAAGAAATAAACCGTTAACTTTTTTTTTTCTAAACAATTCTAAGCATCTCATCTCATATATATAAAACATTGTCCTCTTCCATTCTTTTCCTCTCTTTGAGATTCAAAGTTTCTGTTTTTTCTTTGATTAAATTGGAGAGACACCCTCTCCTTTAATTTAGGTTTGTTACTAAGTTATATAGTTTTTTTTTCTTTTTTTTTTTTAACAAAATCCAGAACCAATAAACATAGTTTGATATTATATGCAGTTTTGATCCTTCTGGGTTCCTCGCGGGGAAAATAACAAGTACATACATTCTTCTTCATACGTTCAAGAGTCCATACGAGGACGAGATCTTCCTAACGTCTTTGATCTTCTTCAATAGGTTCGTTAACAATTGTTATCCACTAAAATAATTTATCGATTCGGGGTAGTGCTGATCTATCGGTTCTGTTGTACGTTGTGATGACATGTTTAAACAGGAAATAATTCTGATTTGGTTGAAGATGTTGGGAGATTTTATCATCAGATTCCTTGTGTATGTCCCTTCCCTACTATATATTGTTCTCAGTTATCCATTGCTATTGTCTTAGATAGATTAACGTATGTATTTTTAATAAAAATGGTATATGTCAGATTAATATTAGGGTACACATACCCAGCTTTCGAGTGCTTTAAAACGGTGGAGAAGAACAAAGTTGATATCGAGGAACTCAGATTCTGGTGCCAATACTGGTATCTATATAAATCTCATCCTGTCTTATTTATTTATCTCACATATAATCTTATAACATTGTTATATAATCCACTGTACATGTAGTGGGAAAATTGATTTTAATTAGTAAAAAGTTAGTTTTCTTTTGGTTTTGGATTGTTAAATTTGTAAAAGAAAACAAAACTCGGTTAAGGTTAGTGTTTTCTGTTGGACAATTTCAAATAATCTTTCCTAAAAATTCTTTGGTTAAAAACGTAACAAAAATAAATGTCTTTTTCGAAATATTTTATAATATAAAATTTAGGATTACGGTACAATTCTATTACAATATTTTTTTCAGACATCAATATATGGGATGCACGTTTCACTGAATAGTTTCAAATCAGTATATGTTGGAGATTGTTATTTTACTAAACATTTGTGTTTAAATAATTAGGATACTGTTGGCGCTAATTTCATCATTCGAGAGGGTTGGCGATATATTTATCTCATGGTAAGAAGGATCTTATTCATGTCCTGATTTAAATGTCTTTAATAAATAGTTCATTAAATAATTGGCAAATGCAATTATTATTTGCAGGTTACCGTTGTATGGAGAAATGAAAGTGGTCTTCTTCGTATATCTTTGGTATCCGAAGACTAAGGTAAAATCACGTTTGCTTTGTGGGATAAGTACTTAGATAAATGGTTATCCACTAATTATAATATAACTCGAAAATTGGTGATGAAGGGAACGAGACATGTGTATGAGACATTGCTGAAGCCATACATAGCTCAGCATGAGACAGAAATTGACAGAAAGATTATGGAGTTGAGAGCTAGAGCTTGGGACTTTTTCATTTTCTACTTCCACAACTTTGCCCAGGCTGCTCAAGCCACCTTCATCCAGGCTTTTCAATATGTACTCGCCCAATCGCTCCGGTTCCCTGCCGCAGCCGCAGCTAACCAACCGGTATACTTACTGACCCATTGGTTTTATTTTTGCCTTTTGTCTCTCAGTACTAAATTATCTTTTGACACTTTTGTGCCTGGTGAAGCCAAACGTAAATGTGAAAACGCAGTCACCGGTGGAGACAGAAAGTGTACCGCACTCACCGCCCGCCCCTAGACCGTTGAACAAATCACTATCAGCGTTGCGATCGTTAGAGAAGCAAACGAGTAGGGGGAGGCAGTGGCCACCACCGACACCACCACAGACACCTGGTCGTGAAGCAGCCGGAGCGTTCAACGGAGAAGGAGTCGACATTCCGGATACAATTCCAGGATCACCCATCACCGAGGCTCGAGCCAGGCTTCGCCGTTCTAACTCCAGGTCTCAGGCCGCAGCATAGTAGCGTACATAAACTTCGTGAACCCTTTCTAACTTGTTAAAAGATATTATATAGGGAAAGAAAAGTGAAAGTTTTGTAAATGTTTAAAAAACAAAACAGCTGAACTTTGTATGTTCTTGTGGTTTTGTAAATTTAAGCAGAAGTATTAATACATCGAGAGTCTCGATTCGAGACAACTTGTGTCGGGTAAACAAGAGCTGGTGTGGAGCTCATTTAGCATATTGTAACGATGGAATTAATTGGTCAAAAAATTATAATCAACTAGTGTATCACTGAAGCCGATGAAGTATATCTCTCTCTTTAACTTATATTAACCAGTACTCCTCTACATTGTCACTCGTTACACCACTCCAGCGATAAATGAGATCATAATTTAATGGTACTACTTATGGTACGCACCTGTCATACACGTTTCTGTAATTGGTCCCTCCTTAGATTTGATTTGGGCGCCAAGAGTTGTTGTGAGATAAAATCATTTGGGATGAGATGCTTGTTTGATCTTTTTGCATCATCTGCGGGTTGAGTCAATAGTAGCGGTTGGGGATATGTCACCCATTAGCGGTGGTGGAGTACTCACATCAGCTAATCCATAATCCCAATCGATACCAGCTTTAGCATATGAATTAAGGATTGCATTATATATACGTTGAACAGATATATAGAGAGAAACAGTTTTTGATTTATCAAAGGATACAGTCTGTTTTCCAAATATCTGTCATGCTAATTTCCGCATTGGAGAGAAGCCAGTAGTCCGTATCATCATTCTGCAAAAAATTAAGAGCACATCAAAAGTAAGCTTTTGAGAATCATGCCAAAGTTGAAGAGTGGCGTTACTGGTACTAGATAAGTTCATTTGCGTAACACAGTCATCTTTTAGATAACATATCATAAAAAAATAAGCAGGAGGATGATTTACTTCGACGTCAGAGGGAGTAATCTTAAGCATTCCTCCTACCTGGTCCTCCAAGTAATTAAGATCAGAGGTCTCGCCGGGTTGAGCATATGAATGTTCTTGAGACAACTGATGCTCAATGGCAGTTCCTGTGTTATCAACAGTTAAGGCTTCTGTGTCATGGTTTTCTGTAGATCCCGAGCAAGAAGCAATAGGCAAGCGTGGTGGTGGTGCAGCAGGCCCATTTGTGTCTTCAAATTTCTCCTCAAATTCACTGAACATGATGTCAAAGTTAAAGATGTAAGCCGAAAAGTGCCTTCTCTTGTTTTCGTATACCTCCATGATGTTATGACATTTTGTTTATCATTCAATTAACTTTGAGCGACTACTACTTTTATGTTAATATACAATATACAAGAAATATATAGAAGAAACGAGAAAGAATAATACCTAACAAGGTATACGTCAATAGGTCCCATTGTACTTCTAAGAATGATCCTGTATCTCCTTTGAGGGTGGCCAACCGACTGTCAATGTAGATAAGAAACATATTATCATAACAATTTGGCATCTAATGATGAACAAAAGATGTCTTCCAAAGTTGCTGAAGAATCTAACCTCATCTGGATCAGGGACCTCCAAAGTTGTACCATGAGGAGCTTTGACGGCTATCAGTGTCTGGTTCTGTGGGGGCAGCAAAGTGAGCGTTGAGATATAAGTGAACAAGGAAGTTTGAGGATTGGCAGACATACATTTGATCATTTGAATAAATTCCTAAGGTCAAAATGAAATAGGTAGGACATACAGACCTGGAAGCCTGGTAAACTCTTGATGTCCTCTTCGGTTACAAAAAGCCATCTGAACATTGGGGATAGATTGGTTAAGTCCCCATCATAAGAATAGCACCATCTCGTTTAAGTAAAAACTAGCCTAGAGAACAATAAATAAGCGGAGATTTATACTTCTGATTCTTTTCATTTTCGCTCAGATTTCTTAATCTTTCCTCCGTTTCTCTGAAAAAGGTTACTAAACGTCAGTAATGGTTGAGTAGTGAATCACAACATCCCAAAACTCTTCGAAATGAATGCTAAGAAACCTGATTTGGTTATCTAGCGCCTGCTCCTTGAGGGAAAGGTTTTCAATTTCTGCCTGCAAGGAGAACACAAGATCATTAATAAAACGAGACCAGAATCTAAATGCATGCCATTTCACTTAAATGCATGCCATTTCACTTAAGTGCATGCTGTTTTACAGTACCTGTACGACAGATACATCAGCATCCACATCGCCAGGCCTCGAAGCATCAACTCCCCTGGTTAAGTTTATGGATCCACAAGTGAGTTAACATGTGTTCAAGTGATTGAAGGAGCGTCTCAACAAAGCAGATATAAAAATTCCTCACTTCCAAAGAATCCGGTTCTTCAAAGGCTTTTCAATGAGATCAATCCCCTCCAAAACGTTTGTAATATCATATATACGTCGTTTCTGCACCTCCAATGTCTCTGCAGCTTTGTTTAGGTCCACCATCCCATCTTTGGCTTGTTTGATTAGATTGACAAACTTTTTCGTAAGGAGACCTGAACAGGTTTATGTCAGCATCTTCATATTCACCACACCATGGTTTAAATCTTAGAGATAAATAGAAAACAGTGGGTTAATTACCTAAAGAACTGTCATAACGGCAACTTCCAGAAGGAGTTAGTGTGGGAGGAGAACCTGCAAATTTATCAGGAAAACCATCAGCTCTTTGACCTATTTGTTGCTCTCCATGCATGAAAAATGATAGAGCAAGCAAAAATGAGTAGACAGTTAAGAAGCCTTTAGGATTACAGAACTTGCCGACTTACCAATATCTGAGATGGGTGTTTGGGGAATGGACTGGTTTCCTTTAGCCTTAGACTTAATGTTGACTCTGCCTCCTTTCGCAGAAACAGGAGTTTTACAGGGACTGTTGGGTATGCTAGTGAAACCAGAACTTGTGAATCCACTACTATTACAAGTACTAGTACTAGTAGACACCACATCCATTGTCCTCTTTCTCTTCCGTGACTGCAGAGATATTCTACTTGTTATTAACTTGAAACAAGTTAGCCCATCCCCAAAACAACAGGCAAAGATAGATGGTTCATCACTTTCACAACATTCAAAGATTCCACAGGATAAACATGCCAAGCTTCATGTAACATTAGTTTGATACTAATTAGCATATGTGGATACACAAGCTTGAGAGTAATACTTATATAAGAGTCATACATTCACTGAATACTGAAGAAGGAGATAAAACTGCACAATTAAAAGTGTAAATATGCAATAAACAATCGGAGAAATGGCTGCTTAATTTCAAGATACACGTGTCGAGATTTCGTGTAATAAGATTCCGCACACAAATGTTACCATCGTGAAGCTATACTAGGGTTTAGAAATTGAAAACGTCCCACGATAATCTGAAGCTGATAATTGATTTTTAGAGTCAGATAGGTAGCTGAAGTGGAAACCGCACAACATTTAACATCGACGAAATTTTGGTAAAATCCAAAATCAGTAAAAAAAACAACCGAGGCGAACTCACAGGAGATCTAAGAAGGACGGAGTCCTCTTCCCGATCTACGACTCCTCCACATCCATTAACGAGGTACGAAGGGGTGAATCGATGGTAGTTATTATCCGAGGGATGGAACGGAGGTTTCGTTGACGCGAAAGCTAAGTGTCGACCTATTGGTGGTACCACGGGCACAGATGCCGCCGGATGCTGCGGTGGCGGCGGCGGCGGATGGTGGTGGGAGGGACCAGGGGAAGATCGTACGCCGCCGGACATGGATCGTGGTGAAAGCTGAGTTTGATTGGAAGATTGCGGCGGCGACGGAGGTGGAGGCGAGGGTTTTAGTTAGAGAGTGAGAGGGCATAAAACGAGGGAAGGAAGGAGAGGAGGTTTGTGTTGGGGGCATAGAGATGTGGAGGGAAGCCTACACACACTCCTTGCCAAAGAGAAGCCTTTTTTAATTTTTTTTGTTTCTATTTGTGCCCCTCTAATTTTTTATTGTTTTTAGATTTGACCCCACTTACTTTTACGTCCATGTCCTTGTAACGGTATAATCGAATTTTTTTCTTTTTGAGTTTTGGGTGACGCGGATAGGTAGACAGATCTATTATTAAGAACTTCATTTTGAATCTGATTGATTTTTTTTTTAAGTAAGAGATTACGATGCAATTTGTTTACAGTATTATTGATGATTAGTGGTTGTGTACAGAAGTGTTGATTATTTTGTTACTTGGAAAAGAAAACTCATAATCCAGTGTCTTCAACTCAGACTGAGATATTATTGCGATTTCTACTTATAGGAGGTGTGTGTTAGGTATCTTTTTGGGGTTCGTGTTGGTTGTCACGAGCGTAGTACATTAAAGCACGTTTGAGGCCAAGGAGATAACGTTTACAGTCGATATAAAGTTAAAGACCAGAGTCGGATCTCGAGAAAACCAAATGCCCCACAAAAGAGAAGTAAAACATGTTAATAGAGAGAAATATATTACAAACCAATTGCATAATCTAAAAGGCTCTGGATCATCAAGATTCGTACCCAATCATCAACATACTCATCCTCTCGCCTCTAATTTTAGAATCATACTCTGTGCAAATCAGATCGCTAAACTTGCATCCACTTGGCTGCTGGTGCTTGACAATAAGTAAGCTCATAAAAATTTGGAATCGCCATTTTGATTCCATTATACCCATCCACATAGTTAATGAATATCCTTTCTCCTGTCAATGAATTATAGTATCTCTCTCACAAAATGTAGGCAAAAATGACTGGTTTCTTCATTCTGTCTTCTCTTTCTCTTTTCTTGCTTGGACTCTGCCTGGCCCATTAGCCCGTTTCCTCAGAAGGAGCTTTGCTAATGGGCTTTTACTTTGCTGCTATGAAGGTTTTGGATGGCAGCTTTAAGCTAGACATTTTTCTCTAGTCTTTTGCAGATTAATATCACTAACTTCTTTTCTTTATTCACTCAAAAATCACAAACGGTGTGTAGTATGCTTTGCTTCTGTAGTCAAACTCAGATGTTATCAAGTTTCTTAAAGCAACATTAAGACCATTTCTATTTTGTCTTTCCTCATATCATTTTGTGCTTATCTACCTATACAAGAAATACTCAGAGAGGTACACTTAACATTGGTACTCAACACTGTTTTCACTCTTCAAATTCACACATATCCCATCCTCATAATAATACATATTATAAGTTACAATTTTTTTTGAAATCAACAAATATTAGAGACCATATCTTAAAGAAGCAATCTGAGGCTTAATTTCGAAAAAGCAAAAAAAAACTGAAGAAATGGGGAGTGACTCTCAAAGTAGACTCAATGCAACGACTCTATTCACACTAAAGCTTAAAAACAAAAAACAAAAAAGATAAGAGATTTATTCCAAGTGCCAAAAGCCTTTCTTGCTTTTATCAGCTTCCCACTGCAACTTCACTTGTCATAATCTCAGCCTTCACTTGGATGTTGTTGGATTCCGGTTCAATCTCTTCCGGTTTAGCAGCCACGCAAGAAACCTTCTCTTCCTCTGCTTCTTCTCTCTTCTCTTCAGGTTTAGCAGCCACAGTAGAAGCCATCTGTTCCTCTCTTCTTTTCTCTGCTTCTTCTTTCTTCCTTTCTTTGCCCTTCCCTGACTTATCTTGAGTCTCAGGTTTTGTCTGAGACTTTGTTATGGGCTTCTTCAAGCTAGATGAAGATAACCGTGAGTCTCTTGGTTTTGTCACACGAGGACCACCAGTCTCACCTCCTGTTGCATCACTGCTACTCTTTCTGCGTCCTAGCTTTGGAGATTTAGGACGAGTTGTTGGTATCTACAACATTTCCACAAACCAAACATCAATATAACAACAACTATAACTCAGGATAAGTATGAAGAGAGCAAAGAAGCAAACCTTCTTCAATTCAACCTTAGGTGGAGGCTCTTTGTAGAAACTGGGCATGGGACCAGCCTTGAACGTCAAGCTCTTCCTCAACCTTTTGATCTCTTCTTCCTGACTCTCCTGAACAAATAGCAAAAGATGTCAGACTAATAAGAAAGAGTTTGCATCCATTATAGAAGATGTCTTAAGCTAACCTTTGACTTAGCCTGCAAAGTTGTCTTCTCTACTTCCTTAGCATGGATCTTCTCTTCTAGTTTCATATAGAACTGAAAGGAGAGACACAAGTTAAGAGGAGACAATAATCTGCTCTAAGAAGTTTTAAAATGAAATGGTTGTAAGCATAGAACAACCTCCTTCCGCTTCTCAGCTCGTTCCTCCAACCTGAATGAAAATCCAGAAGCAGACCCAACGCTGCTTCTTCTCCCACGAGGCGTTGAAGTTCTGTGGAACATCCAAACATTAAATATGTAGACATCAACAAACGTAGAATAGAAAATGACATACGAAGTGGTAGTTGAGCGGGTGTCGTCATCTTCCTTGCTTCCCACTTCACCTTTCACTGGTTTGGATACTTTATCTGCCACCCTGTAAGTTACAAATGCATTCACTTTTACTTCTTTAATGTACATCACTCTCACATTTCCACATCTAACACTAGGGAAAGATGACTTAGAGCATCTCTAAACCATTGCTATTTTTGCGTCTATAATAACATTTAGAGTCAATTTCACTCCAATCCATTGGTATTTCTTCCTCTAAAACAGAGATTGATTTCTTTTACACTATATTTAGGGGGAAATTTTGCAATTTCTACTTTTACACTCTAAATTTAGAGCAATGCTAGTATAGAAGAACTAACAAACTCTATATTTCTATTATAGAGATTATCTATTTTAGAGAAAACATAGTTGGGAGATGGTCTTACACAACGGTGGTTGATGGGGCATCTTCAGTGTCCTTCCTTGCCATTTCATCTTTAACGGATTTAGAACCTTCATCTACCACCAATCTGCAAATTGTAACGGGAGAATATAGTTCAGTCAGATCTTCACCTTCTGCATATTTGTTTAGTTGGCTTATATTGAAACAAGAAAAGCATTTTGACTCACTTGGAAGTATGGACTTTAGCTGCAGTCTTAGAAATGGATTTCACAGGCTGACAAAACACAAGAAAAACCAATAAGATATTGCGTATAACAAGACATATTGAGAACATAACTCAGTGTACTTACCACAGTTTGCTTTTTGAGTGGTGCAGATACTAAACTGTTCCGCTTGGTGGAAACAACGCTGCTTGGAGATGCAGTTGCCTTTGGTCTGGAACCACTTGCAACTACAGGTTTAGAACTAGCCCTTGGTGTTGTTGTTGCATCAATACTCTTTCTAGTGACATCATCACGAGCTCCTCTAGCTGGAAAAGAAGAGCTCTGAGAAAGGAATCTTGGGCTCCTTGAAAAAGTCCCTGTCTTCTTCTTAACAACTTTATTAGCTGCTTTACTCTTCACTGAAGTACCAGGCTCAGGGAGGCCAGCTTCCTGCAGAGAATGAGAGATGTTAGACTAGTGACAAAAACATGAGTCCTGTAAGAAGCATTTATTACCTTAACCGGAACATGTTCATCAGTTTTCTCGGTAGATAAGTCAAGAACCTCAGGTATGTTCTTGTCTTTGGAACTCTCAACAACATCAACATTCTCTTCCTCTTGCTTTGATTCAGTAACATCAGTCACATCATGGGTGGGTTTCTCAGACGCCATTCAGACACAAAGCAAAATGTATATATGTCCCAGAGAGATGATGGAAGAGAACTCAGCTCAGATCTTTAATCTCTTAAGGAGCCACCCATTGTTCCATCTGATCCTAAGAACATAGCAATTGCTTAATGTCAACAATCATTGAAAAGAACAGTCAAAAAGTCTAATCTTTATTTATTTTGAAGAATCAAATCGAATTTAAAGCATTAAATTATAATAATTTCACTTCCATTATTTGCACCAAAACGCTTCACTATGATCATAATCAACTATTCAAGAAAAAGATGAACCTTTGTTAATGTCAATTCAAAGATTAGGACAAGCTAAAACAAACACACGAGCCGAAAACTAGATATGAAACACGAAACACAAAGTAAGAATCAATCATACAAGTTCACAAGACAAAAGTTGAGAACACACTGAATGAAATAAAAAGCAAAAAAGGTTCAGATATTACCTCGTTGATTGATTAAGAAAGATATATGCTTTTCTATAAAAAAAAAAAAAGCTTTCGTATGGTTGAGAGAAGCTGGCAAAAAAGAAAGAGAGGAGAAAGAGGTAGTCTTTGTATTGTATCTGTGTGAGAATGAACGAGAGATGAAATGGCTTTTTCAACGTCAAATGAGAGAGGATGTAGACAAAACGATGACTAAATGACTGAAACGCCCTTTATATTTTTTAAGTTCTTTGACTTTTATACGACTCCACCGAATAATAATTGTTGTATTTTACGGCTAATTAGTATTTTTATATTATGAAATTCCAAAACAAAGGATACTATGAAGTGCCATAGATTTTTTTCTTCTCATCAATAAATTTATTTATCACTATTTTTTCTTCTCTTCAATAAATTTATTCATCAATAAATGGCATTTGTATTTTTTGTTTTTGTTTATGTTTTGATTGAAGAAGAATATTTTGGAAAAAGGATTACGATAGTTAATTACTCAATATGTGTTTGCAATCAACAACCAAAACAGGAAAAAAAGTCATTACATGGTCAGAGTGAGTAAAGGGTATAATGGTCAATAGAAAAGAGACGGAGCCAAATAATTGAGATTGGCACAGTGTTGGAGAACGTGGGGGAGAGGAAGAGTGAGGGGTCTCCCGTTACAGCGAACCCATTACAAACAAAAGCAAGGCCCACGACATACCCGCCGCGTGCGGACCCCACTCTTCCGTCCGTTTTTGCTGACGTGTCACGACCATTTCACATGATTGGTTTTTCATGGTTGGGCCCCATCCAGCCCCGCTTGAGCTGTCTCGTTCTTATTACCAAAAAAAGACTGTTCCACGTAGGTAGTGAACTGTGATTTCCCACCGTCAGATCTTCTGAGATTCTAATGCATTATTATTATTGTTTTTTACTATAATGTAATTTTTTACTATATCTATTTGGTTGCACAAAAACTATAATGTAATTTCGAAATAAAATTAATTTTACTCAAAAATTTTATTTTTAGGGTAATCAACAAAAAAAATATATTTGATTAATTGCTTAAAAATAGAGTTAAAAATGTAGTAAGATTGGAAAAAATTAATCCAAAACAAAGTCAAACTGAAACGAGGTTAGAGATATTGTTAAAACACAGTTAATAATTTTCTTTTTAAACTTAGTTAATAAATTGATTATATAGAAACACATTCATCTATTTAATCTAAATCGCAATTAAAAAAGTACATATGCAAATGTATAAGTAATACTGTACTATTTTTAACGTAAGAAAGAAGGAAAACTGGTTTCTTTTCAGATACTCTTTTTATATTCTTTTGTAAAAGCTTGTAAGAACATTCGTTTGAAACCCTAACTAGTGAAATATATAATGTATTAAAAAGTAGATAGCGGCGCATGGGGAGCAACTTTCATGGGAGTTGATTGAAGAGATATGCTCTCCTGCCTGCTTCAGAGAATCAGAGTTGTTTGCAAACGATTTACAAGACGTTCATTAACAACGATAAGGAAACGTTTTAATTCATCCTAAAAACGGAATCCAAGAATTATTCGGCACCTAGAAAAGAGCAACAAGTACACTATAAAGATAACAAAAGCAACAAAGAAACAAGAATATAGTTGTATACAGAAAACATGCAAGTAACAACAAATGAAAACAATACAAAGATGACAGAAAGCAACAAACAAGCATCTAGCTGCTTCGCATATACAGAACCTGTCATGTGATACTAAGAAGTAAGAACTTTCTTGTAATTAAAGTATTCAATAGAGAAAGAAGAGGTTTCTTGAGGCATAAAAGACTAACTAGCAGTTATCCAAATACTTACCTAGAAAAATGCAAGTAACACAACACTATAAAGATTCAATATATTTCACAGAAATCATGGCAACTTTGTGGTTAATCTAAAGCTATAAACCTTGACCGGGCTATATAGTATTTTTCTTGGAGAAGAATAGGAAGATCTTAGTAGTCTCTCTGGTGTGTTTTTATTCATTTTCGGTGGGCCTTTTCTCTGTCGTGAAAATTACGCACCTTATTATTGTGATGGCTTGGGCCAACTTGTTTTTAATACGGTCCATTCTGACCCGGTTTATTTTTGCGTCCGCTCTACTTCGAATTTGACAATTCATTTCATTCCAAAACATTATTAAAATCATATTCGTTACCAATGTATATATATATATAGATATACAAATTTTGATAAAAAAAATATATATATACAAATATATGGGATTATGGGAAACTAAATATGCATTTTTCGAATGCTAAGCTGAAAATTAGGTGTGAATACAAAATGTTTTGTTAATAAACACACAACTCATATAAAACTAAAGTTATATGTGGTTGTGGAAATGAAGTTGGAGTCATATTTTCATTTTCAAAGTGCTTGATACTAATTTCAGCCAGTTGTGATTCGATACAATAGTCGTTTTCGAGTGTTTCATTTCTTCTTTTTGTCAATGTATTAGATCTCAAGTTTCATGTCTTATTCCGGTACATATTTTGACATTAGAGCCCACAATTTAAATACAAGCCAATAATTAATGAAGAAATCAAGTTCCCGCTCGACGATATTCAACACGACTTTACTTACACTTCTGCGTACGTATGTAAAATTCAACTTGACAAAAAAAAAATCAAAGCAGATTATCCAACAAAAATGTGAAATAATTAACCCTTACTTTTTCCTTCCTTTTACATATTTTGGACTTCAAATAATATATACAATATTGACCGAAAAAAAGAAGACTTGTATAGTAAGTAAAGAAGAATATCCCGAAGGTTAGGGCTTGACTTCAAGTTATAATAATCAGTCACGACATCCGGGTGGTGGCCACAGAGGAGGTTGAGTGAACGACAACCTCGGCGAGAGGGCTGGGTTGAGGACTAGGAAGCGGCGTTGTACGGCAGACAGGACACGTAGGATTGAGTTTAAGCCACATGTCGACACATTTGAGGTGAAAGAAGTGGTTGCATTCTGGGAGTTGCCGCAGCAGATCATTCCCCTTGTAGTCTCCTAAGCATATTGGGCAACATGTCGAAGTTGAGTTTCCCTTCACTTCTGAGTAGAGGATCTTCGGGTAGCTTTGAATAGTCTCTTCGTCAAGACCGTCGATGATGAAGTGGTGGTGCACACGTGTCCAGTCTGGAGTGGTTTGTGATGGTGAAGTACGTCTGCAGAAGTAGGAAATGAGGGTGATTGTGGTGATGATAAGGAGGAGCACTCCGATGGAGAATCCGATTCTGCATCTGAATCCTACGATGTCTTCTGTGCCAAGGAGGTGGTTGTAGCCTGGCATCGCCGGAGGTGGAGGCGGTTGGGAAGCGTTCATGGCGGTTGTGGTTTGATGTTTTTTGTTTAATGGGGTTTAGAGGAGGAAGGATAAATAATAGAGAGGTTTGGTCAGCTATTTGAATGACTAGATATCTAAGTCAACGCTAAAACTGACATATCAAAATGAAAATAAATTATTGAACTTTTGTGTTTATATGAAAATTATAAATGTTATATATGATAATTACTAACTTACTTTTTTTAAGAGAAACCTATATTTATCTACGATTTATCTTGATATTAAATTTAATTATATCACATTTTACAAATGATTCAAGTTGAGACAAGGAAAATTTATCAAGTTATGTATTTATAATTTATCCAATATTAATTATAAATTTTATATTGTTTATAACTCAAACGTGCTTAAAAATATTTAGTTAGGAAATAACATAGATAAATTTGTTTCTTAATATTTGTTTCCCTCAATTCAAAATTCTAGGATTCTACGAACCAAAAACAGTAAAATTCCTAACATTATATTTGTGCTAAAATTCCATAATAAACTTTGTTTTTGTCGGTTATAACAAATATATAATGTCTGGATAACACTCGAGGAAATTAAATGTCCGTTTATGGATATTAACATTTGTATTACCTAAAGTTAGATGTTGAGAAAAGAAAGATTTAATAAGGACAATAGCCAAAATCATAAATTAGCTATGATAATCGTCTTCACTTCACGGCCTAATACTACACCAGTCACACCCGATGTGGTGGACAGTTATCATTATAATAAACTTAAACGCCATTTCATGCCTGCTTGATGCTATTTTCTTATTTAATAGTAGGAACTAACCGCTTATAATGATTGAAAAATTATTACAAAATGTTTAGTTAAGTATATTTGAATTTGAATATATATCTATATATGAATGCAGACAAACCGGATATAAACGAGTATACCATATTCTTTAAGAACAGTACTTTTATATAACTTTTATCCTCTTTCGATCTATGGCCGGCTCAATATTTTGATATAAATTTTCATTTTTTTTATAATTTAAAGACCATAAAATATGTACATTGACTATTTAAAATTCAAAGATTAATACTTATATCTTGCTAGACTATGCCTAGCTAGGACCGGTCTTTTTAGCTACATATTACAATGCTTAAGTTATCTTATATATGAGCACTTAACTAGATTGGACAAGTTTGATAAGGTAGACAAAAGTTTTTGGTACTCTTTTGTAACGTTGTTAGATTGACATGCTTGTTTGATTTTTAGGTATGTCACCTTTTGAAGGAGCGTTCCAACTCATGGTAGTTGAGAACTTGCGATGTCTCGATCTGGTGACGTCACAAATAATGTACATCTATATATATAGTTCTTGGCTATGTCGCAGTCCTGGACTAGGAACAGATAAGAGTATTAGTAAGCCTCCGTTAAACTAATTAACGTAGTTTGATGTTAGTCTTAGGAGTATTGGGAGGATGTATATAAGAAACTGATTAATACGGATCAGTTCATTTCCGATTGAAGTTCTGGACAGGAATGAATGGTGGAACAAGATTGAACAAATGAAAATAGGAGGAGAACAAGAGATGGTCATTATATGTTTACATTAATTAATTACCAGATGGGCAATTATTGACAAGGTGAATATATCAAAAAGTGTTTATGGAAATACATTTGATTACCTATATAGTTTCTCTTATTGACAAGGTGAATATATCAAAAAGTGTTATCTTCGGTTTGGGTCAACTGGTCAATGTATATCAATGACTATGAAACTGATTGCATTATCAAGACGATAACCATGATCCAGCCCTTCCAATTTCTAGCCATATATATGCCCGACTATGTATGTCATTGTCAAAAAACTGCAAACTTAAGTATTTTGACTATTTGTGGCCGTGAATTTATATGGACAGAGACTATAACAAATATGCTTTAAGTTTTATCTGCAAATTATTGGTTGGTTGGGAAACTACGTACGATAGATATTGGCAATTTGTCAAAACCATACGTTGATGAATACTTGATCAAGTTATAAAAAGGAGAATAATAGTGAGCGGGTCAAAGGTCCAAAACCATAGCCGTAGAGTAGGTGTCTTTGTTACGTCCTTCTATATTTTCTCGGTTTGAAAATTACATGTGATTCACAATTTAAAGTTAAAGCCATACGTTTGAAATTTGCCTTCTATCTCTCGTTAAGTAATACCCCTAGTATGATACAGCGATCGAATAGAAACGTCTTCATTTGCGGCGTCAAATTGTTTGGTAGTTCACGTCAATACTACTCCCTCCGTTCCTAAAAGATCCATGTTCTGAAAAAAAATTTTGTTTCAAAAAGATGTATGTTTTATGTTTTCTATGAAAAAATTACAAGTTTCAAAAAAATTAATTGGTTTTATTAGATTACTATTGATTAAAAGTTATTGAAAATTGAAAATTACCGAAAATGATAGTGATTTAATATGTTTTCTTAATATGTGTGAAAACACTAGAAAGTTTATCTTTTAGGAACAGAGGGAGTATTATATATCACGTATGCATATATATGCATGCACAAACATTGAGGCATATATACAGATAAATAAGTACTGTATACTCCCTCTATTTCAATATAAGTGTCACTCTAAAGCTATGCACACGGATTAAGAAAACAATTAATTTTACATATTTCCTATATAAAAACACAATTACCCATACACCTAACCATATTTTAACCAATAGAAAAACAAATTACATAATAAAATTAATAAATTTTGCATTGACAACCGAAAACGACACTTATTTTGTAACACAAAAAATTCTCTACAACGACACTTAATATAAAACGGAAGGAGTATAAATAATTAACTATGTGGATAATGTTCACGAGCGTAGACTTAATGTAGCAATAAATTTGGTTGTTGCAGTTACTACTCCAAGTCCCGTGGAAAAGGGTCGAAGGATTATACTCCATACGTATAAATTGGAAAGCATGTATCGGGTGATTGATACATGGCGCATTTATATTCAAAGACAAGAGGGTAATTAAGGTTCGAATCCACAATATCTTTGGATTTATTATTGGGCCATCAATGTTTTGAAAACTTGTTTTAAAAAATAATACTAGCTATCATTCGTATACATTATTAATTTGTGAAAGAGCCATTACAATCATGAAGACCTATATATTACCTCTACAATCAAGAATATAAAATAGAAAATAAAAGATAATATTTTTACCCTCCAGTGAATGGCTTTTCTCATGGAGTCATGTTAGCTCGAGAAAGCTAGACTCTATTAAGATACATTATCAAATTACGTCACAAATAACATATTTAATCAAACAGCGCAAATACAACTGTTTCAGTATTTATCTAGCCGAAGACTTTTATCGGTGCGTTTATTTTTTATGAATAATGTATTAGACCCACTTTATGTACTTTTAAAAGCATCTAGATTTTGGAAGCTGCTCGCAATATAAGACTACTACTGCGTTTTTGTTAAAATAAAAACTGTCACTATTTCCTTTTCACTACACAACGCCCATTTGAAACAACGGGAATGTCTTTGTATTTTAACTATTTTATGTGATATGGGTGGGTGGCATGGTTCAACACTAGCATGCTCCTGGTTATCTTGGGTGTCAACTTCTTTGTTCTATATTTTTCTCTGGATTGCTATTATTGTAGTATTCTATATATATTTCACATGATACATTCTTGTCTTCACTCTCAACCTGCGTCTCTAATTTCGTTGGTCAATGATAATATTACTCATTTCATAACCAAGAGTATTTTAGTCATTAGATTCAACGCAAAAGCATATTCTATTTAAAACCATTAGTAGTTTAGTCATTAGATTCGATGCAAAAGCATATTCTCTATGTATTTTTTTTTCAAACGAAGGCATTAGTCTAATTGTAAGAAATTAAGAATTAAATTCAATCCGATGCCATCTGAATTTTTCTACCTTAGTATTAGTTTTTGCCTTTGTATTCTTGTACCGACACCATGTCCACTGATTGCATAAAACCAGAGATTTTGGCAATTAAAAACGAGATAACATGTATTGATTTGAGTTATTGATAAAATTAACATTATAACAATTTGATTAAGTTCGAATTTTACAAACTGGTAACCAATGTTACTATGTATCTTATTTATCACTAGCCATAAGGACATTACTGTAGCAGAAAACTTATAATAATGTATACTTCATGTCTTCCTCCCTTTTTTATATATGACATATATGGACTTTTATTTCTAAATCAATTGATGTTTTCATTTTTCAATATAAAATTTATTAACATTTTATGTTATCTGATTTTATATTTTTTTCAATTATTTTAAAGAATTTTCATAATGTTGGACAAGTGATAATAGACATGTAAAATGTGATTTCATTCCTATCTTTGCAAAAAATCCATTATGAAACATAATTTGGTGAACAATTTCTCCTATTATCTAAATCTTTAACTAAAAAGATTGGATTAACTGTAGGATTAAATCACTAGCCTTTCTAACAAGAAACGAAGAATATCTCTCTTATAAACGTTGCATTTATTGAGAATCAGACTCGTCTGTATGACTGTACTTTGTCTTCTTGGTTTTCATCAGGAGGGATAAGCAAGAATCATGTTTCTTGTGAGACAAGGCGACTCCTTCCAAACTCTAGCGTGCAACTTAAGCAACTCCTTTGCCTTCTCTTTAGTCTTACTTCCACAGCTAACTTGAAGCACAAGACACAACTTCGCTACAACCCCCAACTGTAACATCTCTTGTAGCAAAGCCGGCGTCGCACAGAACCTCCCAACCGATAACAAAACCCTAACAGCTCTATCGCTTGCTGTCTGAGAAACCCTAAGTATCTTCTTACACACAACTGCTATAGCTGCTCCATGGTTCAAGAAATCAGCTCGTCCCTCCGCACACTGACACAACAGATCAAGAGCCACCATGGCCATCTCTTGACCTCTCTTATCTGATGAGAAGCTCTCGTCCATGAGAAGCTCTATTATCATAAAGATCGCTCCAGCTTCAACAGCCTTGTGTCTGTTCCTTCCCCATGGACATACGTTCACCAATATATGCATCGCGGCTCTAGTGGCCTTGTGAGAGATACGGTCGTCCAAGATCTTGACGACCTCAGTGAAAACCGTTGGCTTCAAAGTCATGATCTGCATTGGATCCGCTACTTCAAGAATGTTTTTTAAAAGCAAAGTCGCGTAGGCTCTTGACTCGTAGATCCCTTGCTGCATGATCTTCACCAAAGAGTTTACAATATCGTTACCTTTCTTGTTGTTTAAAAGATTCTTGAGGACTGTCTCCGAAGTTTCAAGATGGTAGAGTAAGCTGAGAGCTTCGTCCCTCGAAGAGTCAAGCCCATTGTTGCTTACGATAGTGGCCAAGAACCCTGGCACTCCCGCAGCTTCCAAACACCGTTTGTTGGTAGCGTTCTCGGACACGATCTGACGAAGTCTTTTGAGACACTTGACTAGGTTTTGATGAGAAGAGGCTGAATCTTTTATGATCTTTTCGATCTCAGATTTAGAGATGGGAGGTCTCGGGGTGGGGATCCTCTCTACACCGTAGGACGCGTTTAAAGTACACCAAGATTGGATCAGACGGCGAAGAGTGTGGTTAGGGGTGAGATCTACGTCGGTTATGTCTTGTTTGGTGACCGGACACGAGTTCTTCTTTGCGGAAACGAGCCATTTCTCGATGCTGTCTCTGTCGTAGGTTATTCCGGTAGAGACTATCACCGGATCTTTCATGATCTCTAGAGAGATGGGGCAAAGAAAGAACGTAGGAATCTCGATCTCTTCATCCATTAAGAGGTTGTAAGATAAGGAAACAGACACACAAGTACACTATAGTATTTGGGTTTTGGAGGATGTTATTTGGTTTGATTAAGTTAGGGAGAAGAGATAGAAGAGCTTGGGGGCTTTAAATATAGATGAAGTTGCAGAAATTCACAGCTATTAAAAAGTCAATACACGGAAAATACATGTACTTTGATATATACGCTTTGTAAAACTGTCCTTATTTAAGTTTATTAGTATTATATCCTCTAATGGAACGAACGAGGAACATATATTTGACTTTCTTTTTTTCTTACTCACATGCCATAATTGATTGTTTCTTCCTATCTTTTTAGGTTTTACACATTTTTTTGCCAGCCCTTTTGACTTCTGATTTCTCTTTGTGGCGTCGTAAAAGGAAATAGTAAAGGTACAAATATGCTAGTCCTTGACTCTTTGTCACATCATATTTTATATAAACTTTAGGATAATCTAGCAAAATTTGTTAATACAAGTGTGATGAAATGCTTGACAACCCAAATTTTTCAATTTGAACTTGCGTGATATAGAAGTGTATAACATGATACAATCAATGCTAACATTGATAAGATGAAACTATATAAGTAATTAAGTAGGAATTAAGTTGGAAAACTATAGATTTCTCATACTGAAAATATAGCTCATCAAATAATATGGAAGTAAAAATCACCAAAACATCTTTATAACTACCGGTTAAATAGAAGAAGTGCATTATGACAAAAACGAAAGTTATTTTAAAATTGTTTATCTGCATTTCTACGTCGTTTACAGTTTCCACCATTGCAGTTACAACTTTCTAATTTAAAAATGTTGTTTTCCTTTGATTGTTTCTTCTTTTGTTACCGACAAAACCTAACTAAGTGCCATTAACGGTCGACTTAGACCCATACAAACTTATATCGGTACGTTCAACCTTTTTCTAGGCTCTTCTACGAAAGTTTGAATAGTAAGAGCATCCTCAACCGGTCAACCCTAACATTTCATATGGGATGCTTATTTTTCTATTTTTTTTTATAAAAAAAAACCAAACTAATCATGGGTCGCCACGTGTCAGTAGCACCCGCAAATAATACAAGCAACTTACCATTTAGGATGTTTGATTAAGCACTTTTGGAAAAGGTGCTTGCAGGGCCTACTACCAAAAAATACTAAACACTCCCTTAAGCACCCCCATTGATGATGCTCTAACATCTCATCAAATCGTCTCTTGATATGTCATACTTAATTTACTTTGACAATTTTGTGACGTGGAACAATATATGATTGCAAACGTCTGCCTATTTAAATGTCAAAGTCTAACAAACTGGACAATATTTATTTTTAATGAGATACAACGACTATAATAGATATGCTTGACTTCAAAATATGATATGTGCAGCGAGACGATCATGTTCTTGTCGTATTATTGAGTTCCTGACAGGAACTTAAACATGCTTTAGTAAAATTAGTGTATTGTACCTTAATGATAAAATCATATAAAACAATTAGTCGTATCTCACTGATCAAAATTTTAAATTCAACTCTCAACATTTACTTCAGGAATATATAAAATATATATTTTAAAAAACCATTCAGCAAATATAAACTCTTCAAAACAGAATTATTTTAGTGTCAACTCGTTTTTTAGAGAGGATCATGAAATTTTAGATATATTGGTCTATAAAGCAATAATCAGCTAAGTATTAGTAGAAGATAATCAAGCTAATATACATATCTGTAGCGCAAAATGTATTATATTATATTACATTCAGATCAGTAGTTTGGAACTTCAACAACTTATTGTGCCCACACGCACAAAAATAACACGTTTAAAAAGTTATTACCAATATATATGCATGAATACGTATTATATTAAAATTATGTACATATACACAGCCCAAAATGTACTTCCCCCTTTTCAAATTATATGATATTTTCAAAGATCTATATTTTTATAAAGTATAAGATGTTTTAAAATTTTAAAATATTTTGAGATTTTAAGATGAATTTTAATTTTATCAGAAACTGTTAGATCAATAAAATTTTATAGTCTTTTTGATAATTGGTTGAATATATTTTAAAATTATATATTTATAAGAAGGTATTTTTTTAGAGAAATATAAATTTTTTAATTTTTGTGTACTAAACAAAACATCATATATTAAAAATTGAGGGAATATCATTTTACGGCTGGATTCAGATCAGTATTGTGAAGCACAAAAATAACACGGTTTACCAGATATTACCACTATATATGCATGAATGTGCATGCGTGTCTGAATCTTCCAAACAATAACAAAATATATTATTATATACTCATGCAAACTGTTCACTAATTTATTTGACCACACTCGTTTACATTTTAAATAATTTGATCTTACTTTACGACTAACAATTTGCAATTGCTAGGTGCAATGCATCTGAAGAACTTGCCGCAATTTTATTTAGTTACGTATTTTTTTATTTATTATTTCACGTTTTTGTCATTATAAGGTTTTTCAAGATCTCCAGAAAATGTCACCAAGTAGTTCATGTCGTATCTGTATAAAAAACTGTGTAAAATCATAACATGTAGACATTTAACCTATTTGGTGAAAGGAAATGATTGTGAAGATGAAGCAGCGGGGGGATTAATTCTCTGCAAATAAGAATCATATCAGGTCCATGACTAATGTGACTCAAGAAAAAAATCGAACTAGTCCGGTTAAGTCTAGTTTGATATGTACAACCTGTATGCAGGATGAATGGCAAGCATTGATCTCCACTGAAATTATAAACAAAGTGCTGATGTTAAAAAAAAAACTCGAAAGGAGTTAATGGTTTTGCTGACTGGATAGCTAAACATTGTTGTATTGTTTTTTTTTTCTTAATGGGTCGGTCGAGATGTTCACTGTATTTGTAATATGTATACATCTCAAATGCTCAATAGTCGTTAACCCATTTCATGTGCCTCACCTTACTTTTTTTTTTCCTAATATGTGGAAGATGTTTGGGCCCAAGGTTGGCCAGGAATTAATTTGTGGATTTTCAACAAACCTCTAAAAGCATCAATTTCCATATAAAGTCTCATAAAATATTTTCAGAAATTATTTGAAGGAGTTAATATTTTATCTACTACGAAGAAAAAATATAACAAGTTTCATACACATTTTTATTTTAAATTTATTTGTATCAGAACTTAGTAAAATCTTGTTCTTCCGAGCTTTTGGAGATTGTTTATTTGTTAAATTGGGAGAATAATTTATTTGTTTACGTCAGGAAATATGAGATGACGGTGATTCCTATAGCGATGAATTCTAGTATATCGCTATACATTATTAACTGAATTATAAACAATTAAAATTTTTGAATGTGATAGTCGCGGAATAAACTTTAATTTGAAGTGTGAATGTGTATAATTTAATTTGAAAATATCTCCAAGAGATATCCACTTCAACAAAAAATCAAGTTAATTTCCACATCTGCCTACAGTATTCTGAACTCACACATCTAAGATTTTTCCTTTTTGTTTTTTTTTTATTTGGGTCAAACATACAGCTTAGATCTACTCACCTCGGACAATTAAGAAAAAAAAGAAGATATATCCTGTAATCATCATATCATATAGGATAACTCCCATCACTATCTTATCTTATCATACAATGTAATAGAAAGTAATATCTGGTATACACCCAAAAGCAAGCTATTACACGTAACTAATCCCATATACATATAGTTCTATCCAATCCCCCCCCAATAAAAACGAAAAACAAAAAAGGAAAATAAAATTACAAAAATAATATACAGACGGCCATATATAACCAAAGACTAAACTTAAATTTTGTTCTTTGTGTTTGGTTCAGTGGTGTAAAAAACTATATACTAATGTATAAATAACCTTTTTTGGTTGCTCTTGGGTTTAAGCAACGAAGTCAGGCAATAACTGAGCCACATATCGCTTCTGCTGATTCTGCATGTTCATCCCATTGTAAACAGCGGCTGATGAATGCACGGTTGTGGTCGAGATGGTGGCGGCTCCATACTCCTCTGTCTCTCCAATTTTCACTCTTCTCCCTATTGGGATCCCATGGTGGGTCTGCATGAAACCCTGATGATGCGTGGACGACAAGCTATCACAGTGAGGCAAACCTAACGTGAGCGACACGCCGTTGTTGTTTCCTGAGTATCTTTGCGTTATGAGCTCCTGGTCCGAGACAGCTACATCGAATCTTGACATATCATCCATTTGGTATTGTCCGAAACTCCCCATGAAAGGGTATCCACCGTCTGATCTTATCCCTTGTCGATCTTCTAGAATTTTCATTGTGAGCTTCTCGTTGGAGCTGAAATCCGTATTAATAGGCTGCATCATTGTCTCTTCGCTTGTTTTTAGCCTTTTGGGACTTCCTTGCATTCCGGTGACGCTTTCTAAGTCACCGAGGTGATTGGGATTTAGATGGTAATTGTCGGCGCCTCCTCCTCCTCCTCCTCTCATTGGGCTCCTCTTCTCGTGGATACTGGTTGATTTAGAAGCAGAATCTTCGTTGTTTTGATCCAAGTTAGGTGCCTTCTCCAAGGATCCCATGTTCTTTCCCTGCTCCTTCATCTCCTCCGTGTACATCTCTTCCACCATCGGTTTCCATAGCCGAACTCTCGCGTTTATAAACCAGTTTGACACCTATAAGTGCATTTAATAAATAAAGAAGTTATGTTAAAAGAAAAAGAAGTGCATTTAATAAACACCAGTATGAGATATTGTGAATTAATTATTTACATAAACAATATACAAACCCTAGAATATGTATTTGCTTCAATCAAATTTTTCTCTCTAAATATTTTTGATTTTTTCATGTTTATTCACAATTGTTCACAACGATATGTTACTTTAATTAAAACAATAACACAAAAATCATTTGCACCGTTTACGTACCTGGCTCCGAGTGAGACCGGTTTGCTTGGCTAGCATGTGCTTGTCCGAATCCTTAGGGTATCTAATGTAAACAAAGACAGAACTTAGTTTGTGCTCAAATAAAAAGTAATGAATATTGTTTATAGATAATGTATGGTTTACTAACGGGTGAAGAAAGTGTTCGAAGAGCCAAGCACGGAGAACTGAGACGGCACGCTCGGGAAGACCACGTTGAGGTCTCCAAGCATTATTGGTAGGATGATGTTGAATCATTCCAAGTTGCTGAAGAGCTCTTTGCTGTCTCAAATGATGGTCTACTAACTTGAGCCTCCCAACACCAGAGACCGAATCTTCCTCCCCAAGGCTCTTGTTGGCCGCTTTTATCTGACCAGCGATCGTGTCTTTCAAGCACCGGAACTGTCTTGATATGGTCTTCAGTGCGAGTGACGTGTATGACTTCGCGGAACCTATTCCTGCCGCTTGCTCGAATGATGAGATCACCATCTGCATCTGTTGGTGATATTGTCTGTATCTTTGCTCCACCTTTTCATTTCCCAAGTAATATCGTTACATGAGGCTTATGAATTATGATAACTTTTTAGCAAAAAAGAATTATGAGAACTGATGGTCTATTATATGTTATCTATGAAAGATAAAAAAGAGAATTTAATCTTATGTATCTATGTGACTACTTCATTTAGAAGAGAGGAACTCTATAAGATTGTGGATTTAAGAAATCAGAAGAGCAAAAAATAGTAAAAATATAATATGAAGTGAAAATGACTAGTTATATCCAACGATAGTTTTTTAGAAGTCCACTTCATGTGTGATATAAGAGAGCACTAAAGTATAGATTATATATACGTATATGTAGTGTTTGTTTTTGTTGTTACCTCGTGAAGCATACTACTCAGCTTAGCTTTCCTCATATGTATTTCCTGCCTCTCCGCCGTTCCTAGATCCACCGTGCCTTTCCCGGAAGCTTCTCCTCCACCACCAGAACCTTCTCCGGCGGCCGTGGAAGATTCTCCGACGGCTTTATCATCAATTCCACTAGTCCCTTTCTTCAATGAGAATAGTTGAGATTTAGTGTTGATGTCATTACAATCAGCTTTGACTACTTCGTCTAGAAGCTCTTGTGTTGCCTTCAAGTACTTGGAGCTCACAAGATTCACTAGTCCGTTTGTTACTCCCGTTCCTGTAGAGCCTGATCCGACCCGGATATTCTCTCCGGGTCCTGACCCGAATCCTACGGTGTGGAGAGTCTGTTGATGGTTTTGATGTTGTTGCTGCTGCTGTTGAGATGAGAGAGTCAAGAAGAGGCCTTGATGCGCGCGTGGGGTCTCACACGCGGCTTGCTGGTGAGAGGGATCCACTTGGTGGCTGCTGTAGTGACTGTACTGCACGCGCGAAGGGTATCCGTGAAGTACAGAGATGTTGTCGGATGATGTAATGGAAGCAGCTTCATGGCCGGAGAGTGGTATTCCGACGAACTGTTGGCTAGTGTTCTGCGGCGGCGCGTGGGAGTCGAGGAAAACAAAACTGTTATTGCTGTTTGTGTTGTTGTTGTTGTCTGAGTCGTTGTGTTGTTGAGTGTATGGAACGTAAGTCGTTGGATTCATGAGGATCAACGTCTGTAAACCACCGTCAGATCCGGCTGAGATCTCCGGTGGGTTACCGTGGAAGTAAGCAGCCATATAATTAGTATAAACTTGTTATTCACGTATGAAACGTTGTTTATCTTCTTCTTTCACTAAGCTGATCGATCTTAGAAAAAAACAAAAAGAGAAAAACAAAAAAAAAACACTATAAGTTCATAAAGTTTGAAGAAAGAATTGTTGATCACATCAAGAAGAAGCAGAAGAGATGGATATGGAAATCAAGACATAGTCACATAATCATGATTGAAAATAAAATAATAAAATAATAGATTTAAGGGGGGGGGGGAACTAAAAGAAAAATGAATTATTATATAAAAAAGAAAAGAAAGATGAAGAACCTGGATTGATAGAGATCTGATGATGCACGTGTTTCATAATCATCTCAAGCTGCAAAAGGAAAGTTACATAAGAGAATTTTTCTATCAAAGAGAAAGAGGGAGAGAGACAGACTCTCACACACATGAATATACATACCTATGTTTGTGGAGATGTGCGTGATTGCTATGTGAGTTTGGTCTCTGTGTCAGACTCAAAGATCTCTGCAACTCTTTTCTCGCTCAAAGGGGAATATAAAATACAATTTTAAAAGCTGCCAAATTATTTATATATAACAGAAAAGATGAATATATATTAAATTTAGAGAGGATAAAAGAAAAGGAAAGAAAAAGATACCCATCTTTTCCTTCACTCATTAATCTTCCCACAGTCTTTCTTTCTTTATTTATTTTTTCTTCTTATTTCTTTTTTGCATTATGGTCGGTATATTTTTTAACCAAAGAGCATTTCTATTCTATTAATTTCATGATAATACCTAATTCTTTAAGGCATGAATTCACTATGTAAACTTGTATCGTAGAATAGCCAGAATTTGAATTCCAATTATTATTGATACTGATACCTGTAACCACAAAAGTAAACCTTTTTATGTTTATGACTTTACGCTCACCACCAGCTAATATTAGTATTAGGTTTGTGTTTAACTAGCTAAATGGACATTCCAACTATGTTGGACTTTGTTGCTCCCTCTATTTCATTTTAAATTTCAGTTAGAGTTGTAAACATGGATTAAGAAAACATTTAATGTTACATATTTTTTTATATAAAAACACAATTACGTATGCACCTAACCACCATTTAACCAATAGAACAATAAATTACATAATAAAGTTAATAAGTTTTGCATTGAAACCTGAAAAAGACATTTATTTTGTAACAAAAAAAATTGTCTACAACACACTTAATATGAAACGGAGGGAGTATTAGATATCAAAATTAATTAATATGTGAGTTTTCTTACACTTACCGAGTATTTTGGCTACTACACAATTTTCACAACTTTAAATTCAAATATTTCTCAATATTTTTATTTAACAATATTTGAGTGTGAAAATGCAATATGCTTAATCTTAAAATATCTCTAGGAGACTAGACCCATTGATTTATATCTTCCAAAAATAGTTAAATACCAACATTTAAATATAAATAATTTATAAAATAAATTTCATAGCCTTCTTGCATTATGTAGATAAAACTTTACTTCATTTTGAAAATAAGTTCTACACTACTCTACGTTGTAGTGACAGTCAGGATTCAGAATGATTACTAGGTCTAGAAATCAACAAAATCCATAATATAAAATAAAAGTGATAAACTGTGTTAAAATACTTAATTTCAAATACTTGTGTATATCGTTGGAAAAAAAAACTTGTGCATATGATAATTGACTACTGATATTCAGTTTGGCATCCAGGTCAATAGATAATTTTTTCTTTTGCGCCCTAGTAGATAATAAAATTTAACTTCGAAAAAAATTAGTGTCATATACATAAGGATTTTAGATTTCTTGTACTTGCGAGTGGATATAAAATAGAGGAACTTGTATGATATGACTTTGGCCTTTTATGTATTGACCAGATGATGAACCCACATATCCCAACAACCAAACACTCTTATTTATTTATTTATATACTATAGATTTATAGAGGAAAGAAATGTCATCACATCAAGACATAGTGATATGTATGTCGTGTCCAATTTAGAATCATATCGTTTTCATTTAAACATTTATGTTTATTTAATAAAAGAAATCCAAGACGCATCCAATCCAAATATTTCGTGATATATAACTACAATTCTGAACTTAAGTAAGTATTCTTGAGATTACCGTCAGTACCGGTCCTAACATGGGAAAGAGTAGAAGTAATTTTCTAAAAATTAACCATTTTTATAAAAATGTTTATATACCATAATAATAATTTTCTTTTAAAAAAGCTATTTTTTCAAGTATTTTTTAAAGTCTGGAAGTTGTTGCTTGTAATGATTCCCCTTAAGGCTGGTACTGATTACCATACTTGCATGATTTAATCATGGTTCATAAGTAGAACTGTTTTTATTAATCTTAGAGTCACCCGCCATATCTTTAAAAAAAAAAAGAAGAGAGTCACCCGCCATATATTATGTCATGTTATAAATCAGTAATATATTAATAATTTAAATAGAAATAAATTAAAATACGAAAAAGTGAAGTGTGTCAGAAGATCCAAACAGCACAAAAACGAGGAAACGTCTCCTTCTGCTGAAAACCTATACAGTGATATTTACTTACACAAAAGCTAAAAAGAATTATAAAGAGAGGAAGAAAGAAGATGATAAAGAAGGAAGGGGTCCCATTGTCATGACTTTATATCGACCGTCCATTCGTGATAGTCACATAACTACCACCACAAAATATGTGTACTACTAAATTACTAATGTACTTACAATTTAAACAGTATGTTTGATATGCATACTAAACCTCATCTGATCTTCTGTATGTCTAAACTTCCTCTACAAAATAATAATTGGTTACAAGACAGGGTTATAAATCCAAAGTTCACAATAAAACCCACTACAATATTATTGCTGTGCAGACATATCGGGTTTTTTACTAAATTCTTATAGTAAACATTTCTTCTTGGTTATATGATCAACAATTAACTACATTTTTTAAGTTTTAGCTTTTATAAAATTTCAGAAATCAGAAAAAAATGTACTGCAAGTGAAAGCTCGTTCTCAGTAAAAGAAAAATACTTATATACCAAACTAACATAGTACATCTTTTTGAATGAGACGGATGGTTCTAGACTCAGGCATCATACCCATTCGAGTCTACGAAGTCACTATCATTTTCATTTCTCTATAACTTAGCAAGTTCACTATAGACTTAGGAAATCTATATAACAAATTATATAAATTACGAAAGTATATACACATTTTCTTTTAAATAGAGATGATATACATGAAATATGTCTAGCATGCGTTTTAAATTAATCACCAATACATAGTCTCCACTTTAAGATCTTAAGGACTCTGCGTGCCAGTCTTGCATGTTTTTGCTGTGTTTGGCGTTGAATTAATATGTTAGTCTCATAATGAGATAGTAATTAGTCATTGGTTTAATCACTGATCTTCTCCAATAAGTTAGTTAATATGCTAGAATGATAATATGTTAGTCTGACAATGAGATACTAAATATTACTTGTCACTATATTTTATTGGGGTCTTTCAAAGGACTGCAAAACTGTAATCACATCCAGATGTATACGTACGATGTAATTAGTAATGTTAAAAGTAACTTTTCAAATATGATAAGACGATCAATATATTTAATTAAACAACTGGATGATGCATGCAACGTTAAGAAACAATTCGAAGATGCTAGGGGGAGATTAATAGGAGATCCTACCATACGATGGTAAATTGGTAATGATTTGTGTTAGCTGTTAAGCGCAATGTATTTGATATTTTCGAATTTTCTTAATATAACCAATAAAGTTGATTTGGCTTTGAGTTTTAATTAGACGAGTCAGTTTAACCTAATTGTCACTTTAAGCCTTTGGTTTGATGGGAGTTGGAAATAGATAAAGTGTTATCAATCAAGTAAATGACCTTTTATTGAGGCCTTAAAATAAGCAATAGTTGCGACCTTGGTTTTCTATTTATTTCTCAATACAAACTTTTATGTTCATCATTTATCCATATAATTTAATACATTTAACGAAACGAGGAATGGAATAGGCGATGTCGATATGGAAATGATTCGATGGAAAAAACTACCCATTGATGTCCTCAAATGTAATGTTGGATCCTTATGGGTAAATTCAAATCATATTAGTGGTGCTTCATGGATTGTACGGGATGAAAATGAGTGTACAATTATGCATAGCCGTCGTGCCTATTCATACATGCGCACAAAAATAGAGGCAGACTTGTGGGTTTTTTTTTGGCGGTTGAGTGTTTGCATTATTTATATTTCTCAAATATTATTTTTAAGACTTTGTCGGAGAACCTACATGACGTATTCACAAAAGCAGATGAATACCAAAGCCTTAGCTTTATCCGCCATAATATCCTTTTCCTTCTCACATGCATCGATTCATGGAGTTTGGATCATGCTTTTTCAGAACGCAATGAAGCTGCAGCGGTTATTGCTTTGAGTGTCTTGCGTGATCTTCGTCACCAGTCGTACATCGCCCATAAAGCTCCGGTGTGGCTACATCAACTACTCGTTTTGAAGACTCCACAATAAGAAATTTTGGTGAGGTCTCTACCACATTTGTTTGGTGTCTAATGACATCCCATCTTGTCTCATTTGTTTCGGTTTCTGTATAATTTGACCTCTTTTAAACCAAAAAGTGTTATAAAAAAAATTATGTTAATTTAAACTAATAACTATATATATGTATATATATATTCAACAGCCTAATTTATGCGAGATGTGATCCCCTTGTTCATAGAATCATAAAATTTAACTTACTAGGGATATATTAATATAAAATGTCAAACTATTAAGTTTATGTTCAAAACAATTTAAGTTAATTAATTATCATTATACATAATTTATGTAGAGTCACCATGTTACATTTTTATTCGATTTAAATTTTTTATTATGTTTACTAATAACATAGATGACCCAAGATAATAGATGATTTTGATTCTGAAAGAAATTTATTAATAAAAGAAGAAAATTAAACTTGTGTTTTTTGTGCTTAAACTTG